CTATGTTCTTACATACAGCTTGCACACATAATATACTCCACTAAATTTCACTTTTACTTAGTTTTCAACAATAAATGTACGACATTTGACTTGTACAGCTACTTGTACATGGATCGAATATGAAAATTGCAGCTCCATCAATGCAAGATTTCCCGTGCATTGGAGGACAGCTTGGCGGGAAAGAAAAACATCAACGCACGTTGATCATTACAGATTCCATTCATTTTTTAGTCTATAAGCAAAGCATCAGCTTTTGGAGGCCCGGGTTATTATTATTGGTACCATAAAGTGCCTTACAACCGTTTTTTTGTACACCATACAATAGGAAAAGCTTATAATAAAAGATCAAAGCATTTTCTTCTCGGCTTTATCTTCAAAAGTGTAAGAAATTGGGGGAAAATGGGTGCGGTCCACTAACATGGACAACTCACAAGTGATATTCTAACACGCCCCCTCACTTGTGAGTCCTTCGGAAGCCCAAGTCCAACCTGGGTTGGGTGTCCCAAGCCTACTAGAAGTAGACTCCCATAAACGGGTACGTGGGGAAGCGGACTCCCATAAACAGGTATGTCATCGCGCGGTCCCAATAGAACCGGCTCTGATACCATGTAAGAAATTGGGGGAAAAACGAGTGCGGGCCCACTAACATAAAGCGCACCAAAAGCGGGAAAATGCTTATATGAAGCCCAAGTGGGATTCTATCCCAAAACTAATTGGTGGAAGGAGTAACCCATTAGACTTATAAGGTGTGTCTATTTTCCATGTATGAACGATGTGAGACAACTCATAAATGATATTCTAACATGTTAAAATATCACTTGTGAGTTGTCCCACATCGTTCATACATAAAAAATAGACCCACCTTATATGGAAAATAGACACAGCTTATAAGTCTAATAGGCTACTCCTCCTTTCACCAATTGGTTTTGGGATGGAACCCCACTTGGGCTTCATATGGGTTTTTCCCGCTTTTGGTGCGCTTTATGTTAGTGGGCCCGCACCCGTTTTTCCCCCAATTTCTTACATGGTATCAGAGCCGGTTCTATTGGACCGTGCGATGACGTACTCGTTTATGGGAGTCTGCTTCTCCCACGTACCCGTTTATGGGAGTCTACTTCTAGTAGGCTTGGGGCACCCAAACCAGTTGGGCTTGGGCTTCCGAAGGACTCACAAGTGAGGGGGCGTGTTAGAATATCACTTGTGAGTTGTCCCACATAGATCTCCCGAAAGGGATGACTTATAGAAAAGAAAGGACTTCCACCTACTCTGATCTTGCTTTCAAGAGCTAGAGTAAAAGGATCCGTCCACAAAACCATATAGTAAATAGTTTACTCACTATCACATAACCAGCACATTGAGCCGAATTAGTGACGAATTGATCCACAAATTTCCAACAATCGAGTTCATATTACTGCCCTTTTAGAATGGAGGGTGCCCGTACGTCTCGTGGGTTGCTTAAAAATATGAGGAATCGCCACAACACCCTGGGTGGCTCCTTTTCTCCTCATAAATCCCCTAAGCATAGGGGGGACACCGAATGTTCAGTGGGTCGATTTGCCATCTTGTCTTTCATTGCCGGACAAAGGACCCCTCGAAGAATGATCTGAATTCGCCTCGATACCTTCTGCTTGGCCAAAAGAGAAAGGAATAAACTCCTCCCTCCACTTGAAACACAAGGTACGATAGCCCATTGACATCAGGACATCTGGGAACTGTCAATTGCTAGACGAATCCGCTTCGAACGCACCTAACAGGCGATTGACAACTTAGTGCCGAATTCCTAGTGAGTCTGAAGTTCCGAAGTAATAGAATGTTATCTGATTCAATCCTCGCCAGTTGAAGGGGAGCCCCCGAGCGTACACTCGTCAGTGGCGAACCAACGACCATGCAAAACTAAATAAAAAGAAGAACCAGGAGCTAGAACCGGCCGTTATGGCAAGTCCTGGTATGCGTTGCTATGGGGGGGTTTCACCAGTTTCCAGTCCATAATGGAGAATCTACCCTGAGACTCTAATATTACCGCCTTCGTTGGACCAGCAAGAAAACGGATGCGCGTTAGCGCAACGGCTTTCGCGCTAATTGCTCAATCCCTTGCTTGTTCAGTCACAGAGCGAAAGGTTCAGAAGGAAGAGAGGGATGAATCCGCATTTGAAGCTAATTCGACCGAATAGAGATATGAGTTTGGGGTAGAGCAGCCAGGAATGGAGAAGAGATCGAGCGAAGAAGGGATAGGAGCGAACGAAGATGTTAACTCGTCGAATGAAGCGAAGCGGGAAGGGGAATTGAAATAACACAGACATAGTGGAAATGCTCCTAGACTGATCCTCTCAACGCATACTACAGCAGGGAAATAGACTTTTATGGACTTTGTCTTCCTTCTCGAAGAATAGGTCTACTATGCTTCAGCAGAAGGTAACAGGATGCTTATTTCAATGTCGATAAGAATAGTAAGGATGCTCCCATTAGTGCATTCCCAGATCTGAGCTACCAGCCTATGAGAAAGCCTTGAAGGCAGTACCACATCGAGTTCGGAAAGAGCAGTCAGCATCCGATGGGGGAGGAACGAAGTCACTCGACTGAAATCCGAGGAAGGAAGAAAAGGCATTACAGGAGGAACTGGAATTTTTTTATAGAGCAAGAGGAAGTTACATGGATTCAGAAATCCAGGAGGGACTGGTTGCTGTATGGGGACATAAATTCCACATTTTACCATAGACATATCCAGCGTAGGAGAAAGAGGAACAAGATATTGGCACTGAAAGGGGAGCAAGGAGAGATAATTGAGGATGAGGAGAGGTTGAAAAAAATAGCGGTGGATTTCTTTACTCGATTGTACCAAGCGGAGATTCAACAACCAGTATTGGAGGAATGCAACATCACTTTCCCTAAGATCCCACCAGAACAGCTACAGAAACTCATGACAAATGTCTCTAATGAGGAGATCCTCTCAGCAAGCAGGTCAATTATATCGACCTGAAAGCTCCAGGCCCTGATGGTCTACACGTTTTTTTCTTCCATGAGAATTTGAATGTAGTTGGACCTTCTGTGTGCAGGTTGGTGCATGATGTGATGAATGGAGGAAAACTGCCTGAGGGTCTGAACAGCACTCTTATCTGCCTAATTCCTAAGGTGGAGAACCCAGATACACTGAAACAGTTCAGACCAATAAGTTTGTGTAGCGTGGTATACAAACTTATCACGAAAGTCATTGTCAATAGGATCAAAGGGATTCTGCCAGGTGTGATCTGCCCTGCCCAAGTAAGCTTTGTCCCAGGCAGACACATCACGGATAATGTGATACTTGCCCAGGAGATTATACATTCGATGCGAGTGAAAGAGTTCTATGACTTCACTTCGCCAATACTTTTGACTTTACTGAACAAGCAAGGGATTGAGAAACTAGCGCGAAAGCCGTTGCGCGTTAGCGCATCCGTTTTCTTGCTGCTTCGCTTCTAAAGTTGGGTCTTAGAAGTTGAGGGGAAGCCTTTACTAAACTAATAACTTAGAGATTCATAGGACTGAGACTATATAAGCTCATATCGGCTAAGCCAACTAATAGGACAAGAGCCTCTTTCTTTTCCGGTTTTTCGGTGCGAAGGAGAGGCACGGCATAACTGAATACTCTCGTGATAGGTGCCGCCGAAGAC